ATACAAAAGTTTAGTAAATTTTATAAAATCTACCTTTGATGTAGTGGTGATTCTTTGTCCTAACCCCTGACCAGTTTCACGCGCTTGGGTTTGAACCCCTATATGTATTTTTTTTGTTTATTTTTCATAAATTCGTGATATTTCCGTGATTTTTTTCCTTTAAAGTTTTCTATGAGTTTAGTAGAAGGAAAATATTTTCCATCAAAATTTTCATGATTTTTAAAGAGGGAAAAGTTATAGAATTAAATCAATTTTTTTAAAAAGAAAAAATTAGAAATTTTCTTTACAAATACGTTAACTTTTAATAAAGTAAAAATAAATTTCTCAAAAAAGAAAAATGGAAAAAGAAGAAAATATATAAGTTGGAAGGACATTTAACCCCTAATTTAATTGTGTAGCCACCCCTTACACTTTTGAACCTAGAAGAAATACTTTTCAATTGATACATAATTTGTCGTTTCTTTGGTCGATTTGTTGCTGGAATCACATGACTTATTTTTGTTTTAAATTTATGTGTTGTCGTTACATGGTCTTCTCCATTGAAGAAAAGTGATAGTTGTAGTTTAATAGATATTTTATAGAAGTACGTTTAGAAAAATTACTGGTAGCTCTTGGTCTAACAGCTAGAATTGTTGGTTAAAATTGTAATATTCGAGGCCAAGTTTGCAGAGTATATTTACAAAAACTATATTGTCAGTCTCAAATCATACTTTTCCATTAAAGAAATGTGGGTGATAGTCAAGACTGTTTAATCCAACATGGTTTAGTGAATATCTTAATTGGTTGGACTATAGTACTTCAAAAGATTATGCCTTTTGTTTATGTTGCTATTTATTTAAACTAGAAGTTGGGAGATTACCTTGGTGAAAGATTTTCAAATTGGAAGAGAAAAGAGAAATTACAAACTCATGTTGAAAGACCAAATAATGCACTTAACCAAGCTTGCCGTAAATGTGAAGCTTTTATGAAGCAAAAAAAAAAAAAACACATCAAAACACTTATTGGTAAGATGTATCACCAAAGCAAGAATTGATCATTATCGAACTATATTAGGTGCAACAATTGATTTTGCTTGGTTTTTATTATGACAAAGGCTTTCATTTTGTGGGCATGATGAAAATGAAGATTAAAAAAATTAAGATAATTTTCTTGAACTCCTATGATGACAAGCACAATAAGGATATTGAAGTTGTTGCTTTGAGAAATACTCATCAAAATTTGGAACAAAGTGCACCAGATATCTAAAAAAATGATGTGAATTGTATTACACTAGAAATTGTTAATTCAATCATGAGATGTATAGGTGAGAGTTGTTTTCAATTTTTATTGATGAATCGAAGGATATATCTTCAAAAGAGCAAATGGCAATTGTGTTAAGATACGTGGACAAATACAATGTGATTGAATGATTTGCGGGTATTGTACATGTTACTAATAAAAATTCTTTGTCGCTTGAGGTAGCTATTGATGGATTCTTTTCTACACATGGGCTTAAGTATTGCTAGTATGTGAGCAACAAGGATATGATGAAGCCAACAATATGCAGGGGTGAACACAATGGATTGAAAACATTAATTTTAAGGGAAAATGAATGTGCATTTTACCTTCATTGTTTTTTTATAAACTCTAATTAGCTTTGATAGCTACGCAAAAAAATAAAATAAAATTAGTTAGAAATCAATGGTTTCTTTATTTTAGTTGCAAATGTGATAAATAGTATTGGGGCATGAGCAAAACGAGATATTCTAAGAGAAAAAAAGAATACTATTAACTCTTGAAACTTTTGATAATGGTGAGCTATAAATCAAATATACATAGACTAAATCAATAAACAATGATTAAACAACCACGAGATACATGGTGGGGATCATATTACAGCACTCTAGTGAGCTTTATTGCAATGTTCTCATCAATTGGTGATGTACTCGAGATAATTGTAAAGGATGAGTCGAATTCTGAACAAAAATATGAAGCAAATGTTCTAATAAACTCGATTCAATCATAGGATTTCATTTTTCATATGCATCTTATGAAAGTTATTTTGGGAATCACAAATGAATTATCTCAATCAGTGCAGATAAAAGATCAAGATATTGTTAATACAATTAATTTGGAAAGAATTTGTAAAGAAATATGACAAACAATGAGAGAATATAGTTGGGATTCATTGTTAGATCAAGTGATCTTGCACTAAAAATGATGATGACATCTAAAGATAAGGTTTATCCATTAGTTTGAGTTTTTGGGTTGACTAATCATTTTCCCAAACCCACTTTGATATATCACTCTTTTGAAAATCTATGTTTTTTAATCATTTGTTGACATCATCAAATAAACCAATGACCATCACCGCGCCCCTCCACTAACTTGGATTAAATTTTTAGTTTCTCTTTTTTTTTCATTTGAATATTCTTAGCTATTGTCTCTCTCTCTTATATTTTTTCACATTCTTCATCTTCTTCTCTCTCCCTGTTTCTCTCTCTCTCTTCCCAATCTTTATGGTTCTCTCTTTTCAGATTTTTCTTCTGGTAACATATAACAAAATCAAAATTTCCTTATTTTAACTTCCTCCTCTCCTCTTCTCCTCTCTTTTCAAATTTTTCAGATTTTTATTCATTTCAAACTTTTCCCTTTCTCTTAAAGTTTTCTAGAACTTTGTGAATTTTCCAACTTTCTCCCTCTCTCTTCAAATTTTCTCAAATGTACAGATATTTTAGATGTTTCACTTTCGCATTTTTTTCCCGTTTCGCGTGAATCAACAAAAAAACTTTGGGTATTCTTTGAATAACGAAGTAGGCTATTTGAATTCTATATAAAACTTCGTTTTTCTCCTTGAAAAAATCAATCGATTGTGGGATAACTGGAGAAAGAGCGATAGAGAGAAAAGAGAGGGAAATAGGAGAGAGAAAAAGAAGAGAGAAAGAGCAATAGAGAGAGAAATAGGTGAGAGAGAAAGAGAGGAGAGAGCGCGGCAAAAGAGGGAGATAGAGACAGAGACAAAGAGAGCGAGAAAAGAGAGCGAGAGAGAAGAGTGAGAGAGTGAAAAGAAATCTCGATTTTTTGAATTTTGTTACTGATTTCAATGGAGGCGGAGAGTAAGGAATCCCAATTCCAAAATGTTGAATTAATTTTTTAAATTCAATCATTAAACAAATTTATAAAGTGAGAATGAGAGAGTGAAAAGGAATCCTGATTTTTTTAATTTTGTTATCGATTTCAATGGGGGCGGAGAGTAAGGAATCCCGATTCCAAAATGTTTAATTAATTTTTATAGATTCAATCATTAAACAAATTTATAAAGTGAATAATTTCAAAATTTTTGAAATAGAATACCTTTTAATAAAAAATAATAAATTTGGTAATTTAAATAAAATCAGAATATTAAATCAATAAGGATTGAATTAAACAAATAAATTTTGAAATAATTTGATCAAATTTAATTCAAAATATTAGCAAATAATCAAGATCTATAGATTAAATATTTTTTGCCGCTTCAAAAGGGGTTTCGAATTTATGAAAAATTAAATAGATTAAATTTTTTTTGCTGCTTCAAAAGGGGTTTCAAATTTATTAAAAATTAAATTAAGAGAAAATCAACTTCCATTTAGAGCCGAGGATGGCTAAAAATGATATTAATTTTGTAATTTTAAAATTAATAAAAAAATTAAAATCCTAACATTTTGGAATGGGAATTCCTTAATCTTCGTCTCAATTAAAATGAGTAATAGGATTTTTATCTCTATCACTCTCTCACACTCTCTTTTCTCATTGTCTCTCTCTCTCTTTCTCTCTCTATTTTCTCGTTTTCTCTCTGTCTCTTCTCTTTCTCCCTCTTTTCTCTCTCTTCTCTCTTTTCTCTCTATCTTCTCTCCTTCAATCTGGCTTTGATTTTCTCCCACAACCAAACTCCAGTTCTCCCACTATTGATTGATTTTCTCGAAGTTCCTTATGTGCAAAACCCAAATTAACCTACTTTGTTGGTCAAAGAATGTCCAAATTTTTTTCATTGATTCATGCAAAACAGAGGTGAGAGGGATGGACAAATCTAGAAAATCTGTAATTCTAATTTTGAGAAAATTTGAAAGCTATAAAAATGTGGAAAATTTGAAGGGAGAGAAGAAGAGGGGGAGGGAAGAGAGAGAAGGAAACAACAAGAGAGATGAGGGAGAGAGAAGAAGATGAAGAATGTGAAGAAAGATAAGAGATAAGAAAGAATACCTGAGAATATTCAAATGGAAAAAAATAAAGAGGTAAAGTAAAAATTTAAGTCAAGTTAATAGAAGGGCAGTGATTGTCATTTGATTTATTTTATTATGTCAGCAAATGATTAGAAAACGTAGGTTTTCAAAAGAGTGATATATATCGGGAAATTGGACAGAATAGGCGTCCGCCCTAACCTTTTAATCAGCATTTTCAAAGCACAAGATTTTCATTTTGATTATGTCAGTTTTTGGTAAAATTATGTATGTAGATCTTCTTCCAAATATTCATTCTTTTTCAAATCATTTATTATTTTCTATGCACTTCTTATTTTTTCTCTCTCCATCAAATTCTTATTTGTCTCATCTCTCTTTCAATTTAGGTAACTTTACACAACAAAAATTCTTCTCCTTTGGTAAAATTATAAAAGAAGGTAAGAAAGTATGTTTTTCCTCTTTCTTCCTCCTAAAAATAGAAAGTATGTTTTTCCCCTCTCTCTCTCTACACATTTTTTTTTCTTAAAAAAAAAAACTTACTAGACCCTCTCCCCCTCCTAAAAATTAAGGGGTTCTTTTTTCCTTAGTTTCATCTCTCTAAAAATAGAAACCTACCAGCCACCCCCCTCATCATACGCTCAACCAAGATCGGCTACAGTTGCCGCGATCACCATTTCCGGATTCGAGTGCAAATTATTTAATTTTGATTGCAGATGTCGCGTAATAGAAATATCATATAGTCAAATTGTCGATCGAACACGCAAATATATTAATTTAGATAACAAAGTTAAACTATATTAAACATGAACAAGGAAGCTAATATATTAATTTAGAATATACTAGTATTCTTGAACACAAATAAAAAAATTACAGAATTAAACATGTTCCCTACACACCAACCTCGACAACGAAGCTCATCCATCAATTAGTTGCATTCCTAATTGTCGACGTCTTTGGAGTCGTGAAAGACCTAATGAAAAAACAATACCCAAGTTAGATGAATGAATAATGAAAGATAGATAATGTAAGAAAGTCACTTTCTAAAAAACGTATCTATCTATTAAAAATGGCAAAGGATCGTGATATTTGCAAATAACATTATTAAATAAACAAACTAAGAGCCTATCACAATAGAATTCTTTGCAAATACTATTCCAACGTCACAGAATTGATTAAATAAAAACCAACCTACGTACACTTCTTCTACATCCTTTAGTAATATCACATAATATTTAAGAATTTAAAGAAGTATCACAATGATTGAAAACATACATTAATCTTCTACAACACTACAAATCATCAACATTCATAGTCTTCCTTATCAGCTTACTCGATAATCTGATAAAACAACCAACATAATAACCAAACAAAGATCCCAATAGAACAAGCGCGATTAGAACCTGGCAACAAACACAAATGATTCTTTAAGCCAAATTTATCCATTGTTAGAGCAACTATGCTTCACGAAACCAAAACATAAATTTACCAAATTGTTCATAATTTGAATGCTTCACAAATCTAAGCTTCAAATTTATCCATTATTATATGTAAGCAAAATGTAAAATCAATGCACAATAAGAAAGGAAGAAATGTATGACTAACCTACGAGTTGCTATTTCTTTATCTTGTTCTTGAAGAAGATTATGCTTGTCCCAAACCTGCAAAACGATTATAGAAGAAGAGCGTTATTAAATAATTTATTTGTGAAAAGCGTTCTTAGGCTGACAAATCAAACGTGAAGAAAGAAACAAAAAACTGCTTCGTAGTTGTCTAATTAATCAATTTCAACTCAATTACATCTAACAGTCAAAAAATTAAACAATACAAATCAATCACTTTTGATATATTACAAATGAATATTATAAGGTCCAACTTCTGTTTCAATCTAAAAAAACCTAAAAAACCAAAAGCCCACGATTAAAGGTTTGAAATCATAAGTATCTAACAAATACCAAAACAAGAAGGAGCCTATGAACAACTGTTAAGGAGTTCAAATCAAAATTGAAGTACCGGTAAAAATTTGCACTTCAAATCAAAATTGAAGTACCTGTAAAAATTTGCACTTAGGGAGACATTTATCGAACGCAAATAATTTTGTCAAAGGGCCACCTCCACAATGTTCCAGAAAAGCAGCAAACTTACAGTGCAAGGGTTAAAAACCAATAAGGTAGTCTCAACTTTTCTAGCAACTCGACAGCAACCTTACCTCCAAAACTCAACAAGCCTGAATCTGGCATTTAAAATTCAACTACATAAGCTATCATGAACCTCGACAGCATTTTTGAAAGTACAAGGACCAAAATAAACGTTTTGAAAGTAAAAAACCAAAATAAATAAAAGTCAAAACTACATGGCTTAAATTGGTATTTAAACCTTTTCTGGATTATTGAATGGTTGGTGATTTCGACCTCAATGTTTGCTCAAAGGTGGGACATTTTTTTTATTAAGATTATTATTTTTGAAACTTATTTGTAAAATATATTAATGTCACTAAACTCAAACTCAACTACAAATAAAATAAACAAATTAAACGCAAAAGTAAGCATGGGTCTCATCCAACACAAACATTGTATTGCTTAAATTCACAGTAAATTATAAAAAGATTGTAGACAAGCGGTGGTCTAAAGAAAAATAATGCAAAACTTGAGAGAAAAAGATATATGAGAGTACCATTGAAACATGTCGCATTTAATGTCCAAAGATCATGGAACTCTCGTAAAATACAAATAAAAAATTAATGCATCAATACAACATAGTTGACCATAGGCCACATAACTACTTTTCTTTTTAGTTATGAGATTTCTTTTTAGTTATGAGATGGAAGCTCACTTGCATTCGCAATCATCTTTACACACTACAACAAATTCTTGCCACAAATTATCTTCCTTCAGTCATGCCGCGTTTACTCAATTCTTAGTATAAATCTGTGAAGAAATTTGTAGAGATTCAGTTTAAATGCTTCCAGTTTTCAATTAACTAAAGAACACAAAACACTTGAACCAAATCATTTATCATTTACATTCAGATTACCTAAAGAAGAAAAAAACTTACAATGGATGTATAGTGTCACAATCGCACTTTAACAGGACTCACGAAGCGATTGTACGGCACTTGCTTTCACCCTCTAGCAAGTCAGCCAATGCGGAAACGAATAGCCGATGGCACAAAGGCTATATGTCGCAACCTCCACCCCCGTTCTCGAAAAAACGGTTTTGGAAAACGGGGTTAGAGAAAAAGGTTTTGGAAAACGTTTGAAAGCATTTTAGAAAGTTGTTGTAAGCTTGAATGCAAGAGCATAGATTAGCGGCAAGACAAGAATACAACGCAATGTAGGGAGGATGACTAGGTGTACCCCCTAAGGTAGATTATAAAGCATTTTACCTTAGGCAGGCGTGAACATGCAAAGTTGCGAGGAGTCACTCGCCACCAAAAGTACAAGGAAAACAAAATAACAAGTAAAACTAAATACATGGCATAAAAGTATGTGGAAAGAGGTTGTTATGGGCATGCGGCCACAGGCAACAGATCCTGGACAAGCATGACCATGACATTCTCCCCCACTTAAATGGTTGACATTCCCGTCAATTGTCGCTGCTCGAACTCTTTAATTGCTGCCGCAGCTGTCTTCAGGTCTTCAGTACGCTCCCAACTTATCTCTTCATTTGGGAGCCCTTTCCACTTGACTAGGAATTCCTGTACGTCTCTTCGTGGTCTTCCTACTCGGCGTGTTCTCTCGGCGAGGATTGACTCAACTTCTTTGTCAACCTTGTTTGTCAACGTGACTGCTGGACGGGTTACCTCGTTTCATGTAGGGTCGACGGTGTCGGGGTGGTAAGACTTCAAGTTGCTCACGTGGATTACTGGATGGATTTTCATCCACGGGGGTAGTTGAACCCTATAGGATGTCTTGCCCACCTTCTGAAGGACGTTGACGGGTCCTTCATATTTTCGCACAAGGCGTTGGTCTTTGTTACCTCGAAAGCGAAGTTGTTCAGGTCTCAGCTTCA